AGATGTGTATAAGAGACAACGCTCACCTTGACAGCAAGGCCCTCCGGCAGTAAGGGCCCCACGCTCACCTTGATAGCAAGGCCCCCCGGCAGTAAGGGCCCCACGCTCACCTTGATAGCAAGGCCCCCCGGCAGTAAGGGCCCCACGCTCACCTTGATAGCAAGGCCACTGGCAGTAAGGGCCCCACGCTCACCTTGACAGCAAGGCCACTGGCAGTAAGGGCCCCACGCTCACCTTGATAGCGAGGCCCCCCGGCAGGTCCGACACGGGCAGTAGGGCCTCAATATTGCAGTAATGGTAGCAAGCTATGAGGGCCCCAGTGGCCCCATTGAGCTGCTCTATGCCACGTGGCGTCGCCACTAGCGCCACAGCCACGCCACAGTCGCCGTCACGGCCCCGGGCCTTCTGCGCCGCACTCCTCTGCGGGACAGGGACGGTTAGGGCCCCAGAGGGGACGTTTAGGACAGGGCCGCAGAGCGGGCAGTTAGGGACTCAAAGGAGGCAGTTAGAGCCCCAGTTAATTAGGGACAATTAAGGACGGGAGGGGGCCCTAGAAAAGACGGTTAAGGGCCCCAGAAGAGATGGTTTAGGTCCCAGAAGGGACGATTAGGGCAAGGCCCCAGAATGAATAATTAAGACAAGGGCCTCAGAGGAGACGATTGGGCCTGTCTCTTATACACATCTAGATGTGTATAAGAGACAGCAGTAATACCGTTAATGCCATTACTTAATACCAGTAATACCGTTAATATCATTAATTAATATCGTTAATACCATTAATACCAGTAATACTATTACCTACTTAATACCATTATTTAATACACTTAATACGGTACCAGTAACACCGTTACTCAATATCATTAACTAACCTAACAATAACATATACGGATAAATTATCTGCCGTCACAGCTCTTCGTACCTGAAGGCCTGGTAACGAGAGTAACCGCAGTAAGGGCCCCATGGCAGCAAGGTCCCCGGCAGTAAGGGCCCCACGCTCACCTTGATAGCGAGGAGGCAGTAAGGGCCCCACGCTCACCTTGACAGCAAGGCCCCCCGGCAGTAAGGGCCCCACGCTCACCTTGACAGCAAGGCCCCCCCGGCAGTAAGGGCCCAACGCTCACCTTGATAGCGAGGCCCCGGCAGTAAGGGCCCCACGCTCACCTTGACAGCAAGGCCCTCCGGCAGTAAGGGCCCCACGCTCACCTTGATAGCAAGGCCCCCCGGCAGTAAGGGCCCCACGCTCACCTTGATAGCAAGGCCACTGGCAGTAAGGGCCCCACGCTCACCTTGACAGCAAGGCCACTGGCAGTAAGGGCCCCACGCTCACCTTGATAGCGAGGCCCCCCGGCAGGTCCGACACGGGCAGTAGGGCCTCAATATTGCAGTAATGGTAGCAAGCTATGAGGGCCCCAGTGGCCCCATTGAGCTGCTCTATGCCACGTGGCGTCGCCACTAGCGCCACAGCCACGCCACAGTCGCCGTCACGGCCCCGGGCCTTCTGCGCCGCACTCCTCTGCGGGACAGGGACGGTTAGGGCCCCAGAGGGGACGTTTAGGACAGGGCCGCAGAGCGGGCAGTTAGGGACTCAAAGGAGGCAGTTAGAGCCCCAGTTAATTAGGGACAATTAAGGACGGGAGGGGGCCCTAGAAAAGACGGTTAAGGGCCCCAGAAGAGATGGTTTAGGTCCCAGAAGGGACGATTAGGGCAAGGCCCCAGAATGAATAATTAAGACAAGGGCCTCAGAGGAGACGATTGGCCCCACAAAGGTGTATGATTTTCAAGCATCAAGGAACCTTTAAGGGCTAAGGGCTTTTAGGATTTAATGGCCTCACTAAGGGAGTAAAAAGTTCAAGCCTTAAGGACAAAGGACTGACCAGGTCATCAGCTAAGGGCTGGGCAAAGGCGTGTCTGTGGCCCAGCGCCTTAGTAAGGATGTCGGCTCTGTGGTCCGAGGAGAACCGCATGTGGTCCACCTTGTTCTTCTTGTACATACTCAGCTGGAACTCCAGTGCTCCCTGTGGGTAAAGTTGTATATTGAAAACTAAATAAAATTAAATGCAGTAATCCATATCTGTACATTGACAATTAAATTAAATCAAATTAAATGCAGTACCGTAAGCCATATTGCACTCTAAGATAAAATCGCATGAAAATCTCATTATAATCAAAACTTCAAAAAATCTGGAAACTTTACTATAATCAAAAACTCCTGGAAACCTAATATAAAAATTAGAGAAAACTATTTTTTTTTATTTTTGTGTCACAGTTAAGATTCGTTGTACAGTGTGATGTGTATACTGATGTGTGATATAGACCAGTCACTAACCACTACACTAGTGGCACTAACCACTACACTAGTGTCACTAACCACTACACTAGTGTCACTAACCACTACACTAGTGTCACTAACCACTACACTAGTGTCACTAACCATAACACTAGTGTCACTAACCACTACACTAGTGTCACTAACCACTAGTGTCACTAACCACCACACTAGTGTCACTAACCACTACACTAGCATCACTAACCACTAGTGTCACTAACCACTAGTGTCACTAACCACTAGCACCACTCACCTGGTTGTTGGTAGTCTTGGTCAGTACGGGGGAGATGCCGACAATGTCCCGGTAGAGCCAGGTGTTACTAGTGTCACTAACCACTAGTACCACTCACCTGATTGTTGGTAGTCTTGGCCAGTACGGGGGAGATGCCGACAATGTCCCGGTAGAGCCAGGTGTTACTAGTGTCACTAACCACTAGTACCACTCACCTGGTTGTTGGTACTAGTCTTGGCCAGTACGGGGGAGATGCCGACAATGTCCCGGTAGAGCCAGGTGTTACTAGTGTCACTAACCACTAGCACCACCCACCTGATTGTTGGTAGTCTTGGCCAGTACGGGGGAGATGCCGACAATGTCCCGGTAGAGCCAGGTGTTGGTGACCTCCAGGGTGTTGTGGTTGTAGGTTGTGATGCCCTCCTGCCCAATGCCCAGGATACGTTTGTACCTGCACACACAGCTTGTGTACATTACAAACATCATGGTTGTTGGAATTAATAGCAGGATTATTTGGGTTTGTAACATACCGTATACTAACTTATGATACATAGTGATGTTCACACTGAAAAAAATTCTTCCATATCACATTGAGGTTACACATAAAAGCAAAAGAAATGTCAGGTGAAGTGGTTAAACCCTATTAGTCTTCCAAGTTGAGTGATTATAAAATTTAACACTACAAAATTAACATAATTAAAGACAGAAATATATACCTATCAGTAATAACAGTAGAGGTAGAAACTTAGTGTTCCATGTTGAATGTTTCAAGAAGTCAAGGCTACAAAACTAGTATAAATATTACAAAAATAATATAAATATACACACAGCACACTTGAGTGTGTGTGGCAAGACTCACTTGCCCTTCCATGTTGAGTGTTTCACCACAAGATAGCATCCGATGTCAGGAGCTGGGCCGGCCATGCTTGCTGCCGTGCCAGCCTGCAAAACAAACTACCTACTTTAGAAAACTAATTACATGTATATTTCATCTCAAGATAGGTACTACCCGGGTACTTTAACAGTGAAGGTATTATCTCAGAAATTAGTACCTACCATATATGTTAGGGGGATGTGACAAATAAATCTGAGGACTCAATTGTTCTAATTGTGAGCTTGTAGGCAAAACTTTCAATGGTACACTTGGATCAAATTAAGAAAGGTAGCAAGTCTCATTCCATAAATATTTCTAAATTTATTAAGTATCATTTTAGTGTATTGTTTAAAACATGTACCTACATTTTACCATTGCTTCACTTTTGGTCAAAATTTGTGTTTATCCTCCACTTCATTTATATAGCTGAATAAACAGCAATCATGATGACCTCAGACAAAATGTATATAAAAAATATATACCGGTATATGGCCTACTCATATTTATATGGCCTGCTGCTAAGTCATAGCTTGCTTCTAAATTACATACATGAATGCAGTGGGACTTAGAAAATTTCTATGACGATTTGTACTAAATTCCAATATTAATTATCACATTTAGAAGGTTATGCAAAAAGAACATGTGCACATCTACCACAATAAAATTTTGTGTTGTGACTCATGAATTGTATCCTATATACATACTGTGAGATGGGATAAGATACCAGCAGGGTATTTAAATCAGGACAGTTGTCCCACATTTTGTAGAAATGTGGTGACAGTTGAACTAATCAAAATATTGCAAGGCTAAAAATAGTGGCATTAACTTCAACATCTATCTATACTACTATATCTATGTAGCATAGAGCAATTTAAGAAATAATACATTTACTACTGGCACCTCTGGAAAATCCCTGCAAAAAAGGTGTGAAAAGTGAGATTTTGGAAAAGTGCCCTGCTAAGGTCTGTGGCAAATAAATATTCACAATATCAAGAAATTTTACTTACATAATAGGTACATAAAAGTTGCACACAGGTGTTGGCTTAAAAAAGTGATTGACAGAATTTGCCTACCATCAACCGGGCTACTCAGGACGATTTTGAATGTTTTTCATTCATAACTTCTTACCATGAAACATTTCATAAGCAAGTTTAGGCTCATTTCAAAGCTCTTTGCAAGGGCTATCGCATGGCTTCTCCAAAAAAATTCCATATGCTATTCGTAAGGTGCCAGAAGCAAAAGAAGAGTGTCCCGAGTAGCCCCGTCGAACGGGGCTACTCGAGACACTTGGAATATAACTTCATTTTAAAACATTTGAAGCATGCAGAGCGTACTCATCCATTACCAACAGTACTCTGAAGTCCTCCTCTTTCATTGTAGATGATGTAGAGGTAGAATAAATGACATTTTCTGTGATTTTTACTTGTTTTTCCTTTATTGATACAATATTACCATATACATTAATTACCGTATTATTGATGTGATATTACCGTATTATTGATGCGATATTACCGTATCCATGAACATGCCATTGAGCATTTACAACAACCTTGTCCACTGCAAGCTTCATATCAGCAGCCATGTAGCATTTTTGCTGTATCTGTAAGCTTACAGGACGGCTTGTAATTTCACACCATTTTAATTGGGTTGAGTGAATTTACTATAAAAAATCGTGAAAAACATACCTGAAATAGAAAGGAATGTTTTAGTGACGACCATCATATGTTTTGGAGAAATAAATCATAGTTTAGGTCAATTACTTTTCATTCTATGATGCCTGGTGCACAATTCTATATAGGTATGACATTCTATGCACAATTTTGTGATGACTGATGATGCACTAATTTTTTGATAAGTGAAATTTTTTCGCTGAGCAAGGTAAATGTAATCAATATTCTTTGTTTTTAACCAATTTTTTTTTGTAACTGGAGCCTTTGCTAACTGAGGTTCTACTGCAAATGCGTTTTTGGGGGGGTGTCCTGAATAGCCCCGGGGGGTGCCCCGAGTAGCCCTGCCGTGCGGAAATGGCCGCCATTTATTTTTGATTGAGGTATGTAAATTCCGCGAATAAAGTTTTCATGCTGACACTTGTCTTCCACTTTTTTATAAGCAAAATTTTTTAATACGGCAAATATTTTTTTTACTACAGACCTTAGCAGAAGTAACTTTTCAAAATATCATTTTTCACCATTTTTTTCAGGAATTTTTTAAAGCTAGTACTATATGTAGTATTTCTGAACTTCCTTTATACTACATAGATAGGAAAAATGCTGATGTTTACGCCACTATATTTAGTTTTGCAACATTCCAATTAGTTTTGCTACTAAAACAGTTTTATGCCGTGTTGGAGGACTGTCCCAAGTTACCCCGCCCGTCCCGAGTAGCCCCGGTTGACGGTATATCATTCCAAAAAAATGGTGGACATTTCTTCAAGATGGAGTAATAAGGGATACCCCTAAAAATGCATTCACAGTAGAACCACAATTAGCAAAGGCTCCAGTTAACAAAAAAAAATCAATCACAACAAAAAATTTTGAATCACAAAATTGTGCATAGAATGTCATAGATAGAATTGTGCACCAGGCAACATAGAAAAGTAATTAACCTAAACTTTGATTTATTTCTCCAAAAAATATGATGTGGGTCATTCTAAACTTAAAATATGCTTCACTTCTTATTAAATTTTATAAAATTTAATAAATAATACTTGTTTGTGTTGAATATCAACAAATAAAATTGTGGTGTAGTAATTTAATATAAATTTATATAAATTATATGATATATATATATATATAAATTATATAATATAAATTATATATATATATATATATATATGATATAAATTTTCTCTCATGACTGTAACTTATAGAAAACTTTTCACAGATTACCTTGTTTACATATTAGTAATAGGGGATTTCATATGCTGCAAGTTTTCACATTTTTACTTGAAAATTCTCATTTCAGATGATGAATTTTGTTGTGACAATGCAAGGAAATATGGGGACATGGTGCCATTAAATGCTTTCTTAATGACCATTTACCTTTGTAATTTTGGAGTTCACCGGCTAAAATTGGAGTGCACACCCTAGAAATTGGAATCTCACAGCCTGATAGCAGAACTTTCCTTAACAATTAGATAGAAGATAATTCATCTTGAGGGAATCTCCCAGTTCTGCAAATGGTGGAAATTATCTAGTTGTGACCTAGTTGGGAAAAGTCCTACTTTTTTCTAAAATATTGCAGCTCTAATATCATTTAATTTTAGTAGGCATGAAATCTTATGGCTCTAATGTCATGTATTTTTTTTATTGAAGAAATTACAGTTCAAATGTCATTTCATGAAATTTTAAAATTCTGCAATCCACTGTACTATCAGGCTTCCACCAAAATATCCTGCATGGGTAATGATTAAAGAGTCAACCCAAAACGTTTTATTGGAGATCATATTGTTGCGGTAACGTCAGACCAAAGGCTGTTTCACACTTGTGCTCAAAGTTCATTTTTGAGTCCTATGAGTAGAAAAGTAAAGTATCATGGATACCAGCATTATCATACACAAGACATTGGTTTAAGGCTTAATAGATGAGGAAATTAACAATGAATGGATTCTAAAAATCTGTGGTTTGTCACTATGCGTCAGACTGCATTATCACGAGTTCAGTTGCCTCTAAAGTAGAGACAAATGTTATATTGTTATTGTTGCTGTTTCTTCATGGGTAAAATTAAAGATTTGGAGTAGGAACATGTGCACAGGCACTACCGCACTGGCAAATCAGTTTGCGGCTTGTTAATGGCTCTCATGGCTGGGATATGGACTTCACGGCTCAGAGATGAAAGAAATGAGTCCAGCTTGCAAATGATCCATAAAACCACAGCTTGAAAATGCAGTTGCGGTTCAGAGAATAAGCTTTTTCCTCACTAGGTTGTGGCCCTGAAGGTAGATATTTTCCATACTAGATTATTATCAGGCAGAATTTTCCAGAAATAGCAGGAAAAAGGATTGATTCACAAGAAATTTTCAAAAATAGCATGCAAAAATTAAAAATATGACTTTTACTTGATTTTCAGTACTTTTCACTAAAGAAATGAGCCAAAGTCCAAAGAAATTATTGAAACTGCAAGATTCCTATCAAGATAATTGTCTCATATCTCATTTTTAATAAAACTGCCTTATTAACCTGAAATATATCAAATTTATACTTTAATAAATTTTGTCAAAACTTAGAAGTTAGAAGCAAATATTTTATAATTTTGATTCTCAGAAAGATGGTATAAAATATTAAGCTAATTTCAGTGAAATTTTAAGAGGAAAAATGTGACATCATTAAATACTTCATAATGATAATTGCATCGTTTGCATTTAAAACTTAAAATTATTCAAAGGATCAAAGTCAAAGTTAAAGCCACTATAAATTTTGCCTTTTCTATGAAAATCTTCTGTACACTTTTTCAGTTTGGTAGTTGGAAATTTGAGCATTCATCAGCCTTACCACTGCAAATGAACAAGTGATTACCTACCTGCTACCTACTCTGTCACAATTCACATAGGTAAGGCTAAATTCTAAAAGTAAAAGAGTGCAATTGACTGATTTGAGTTTGAATAAGGAATTTTTGCAGTACTGTTCAGATTTCACTACATAGCTGTCATGTTTTAAAGTTGGCGTATCATTCCCAATATAGGTATAACTAATAACTCATTGCAAGTTTAAATAAACCTAATAACGAAAAATTCTCACCCTTTAGTTTAGATAGATTCAGGTGGCGCAACTGCTGATTGACTCGAAACTGAAAGTCGGGTCTTCTGATCTAATCAAGGGAAAGACTAATCTGTGTTTGACGGCTTATCAAAAATTTGATGACAATCGACCATGCGCCAATAGTAAACAATGACCGGTATCTGAAAAAAAAAACATTCGTGCAACAATAATTGAGCGGTCATTTGGATATGAACATATAAATTTAGATTTGTCAACAAATATTTATCTCTGAAGATTTGTTTTGACACATCCCACCGCATCTATGACACACGCGATATGTCACTCAGACGAAGACATCTCACGAACTGTTTTAAACGAGTGACTCAATAATTTGTTTCCGAAAACTTTCCGAAATGCGAAATAATTATGCTTAAAACATATTTGGTAATCATTTTGTTTCGGAAAGTGCAGACTTTTTAAGCCAATGTTTATTATTTGTCATATTTATCTAAGTTCCAGAATAGATATGAGCAATAATTATCTGTTATATACGAAAATAAATTTATGTTTTAAGTCACCGATTGTATTCAATATGCTGCACTTCAAAACGTGCAGCTTTCAGTACAAAAAGTTAGATAGGGATGAATGTACTGTATTTTACAGTACATCGCCGACATTTATTTTACGAACTTTCTATCGATAAATACCCTAATTCAGTTGTAAAATTCAATGAGAAATTTCACGTTCAGGGCCGGCAAGATTGTGGAAGCTGAACTACGACGGCATGCTGTAGCACCTGGATACTCACGGCAGAGGATACGGGAGAGGTATATCATTCTATAAACATGGAAATAATAACTATCCTTTCAGGCCTCTGACTTCGAAAACATGATCCTCAGGATTATGACATACCAAAATACTAAGGAGTGGAGACTGTCCAGGATTCTCCCATAATGCAAACCTATTCCGTGGCGGGACCACAGGTTGCTTATCGTCTAACCGTCATGCCAAAGGAGCTAAGAGGATGGGAATTCACCCATGAAACCTTTAAGGGATTGCTGGACATGTTCCTGGTCACTAAGGTTTACCAGGTTCATTAAGGTTTTGCCCGTTTACCAGTCTCATTCCACAGAGCTGGTCAACCAAACCATGATAATGTTAACCATGTACTGGGATGTCGAATATCAGTATTGAAAATTTAATCGTGTTTGGCATGTCGCCCGTTCAAGTCATCATAGGGTTTTAGCATCTAACTGAGATCCGAACACGCAACTCACTGCTCCAGTCCTATTTATTTTGGCAAACTCGGGGAGTACCAAGATTGGCACAAAGGCGCGGATTCGATTACGCTCAGTGCGCAGGTTTCTGGCCATAATCAGCTAGAAAGCTGTAGCAGTGAGTTGCGACTTCGAGACCGCAACAAGCTGTGAATGTTCTACTATGTTATGAATCGGTGACTGGCCTCCGGCTTAATAAACGCTGAAACCGCTATTATATTAATATAACTTCCTTAAATCGGAAATTGAACCTAATTAAATCATTACCTAGACAATATAAATTATAGTTGATTATGCTCGGTAACTTTCATTGAATTGCCGGAACGTCGCTACAAACCATAACATTTGCAAAATAATACAAAAATGACAAAAAAATTTCACCATATTTTAAATGAAAATTCACAATGAAATTGAGGTGACTTTTCGTCCTTTCTTTTGCTTCTCAATTCATAATGTTTAATAAAGAATTTAAAAGCAAAGAAAACACCAAGCAAATTCACTATTTCTTGGTGTTTTCTTTGCTTTTAAATTCCTTGTGAGCTTGTGATATAAGCAGACTTAATGTTTAATGTATTAAAAATTAGATAATTAACATAAAACATATGAGGGAGAAATGAAAATTACTATATGCTGAAAAGCTGGAAAAACATAAATTGAGGAAAATGTATGATAAATTTTTACCGAATGACGTGGAATGCTGACGAAGATCTCTTCCAACACCTGTGCTACCGCCCCACATAATGTGCCCCCCCCCCACGTGATGTCCCCTCCTACCCCCACCCAGTCCCCCAGCTACAGTCTCCCCCCACCCCTAACCGCCGTCCCAGCCCCCACTAACCCCCGTTTCCAGCCCAACTATCTCCGGTCCCAGCCCAAATTAACCCCAGTCCCAGCCCCAACTAACCCCGGTCCCAGCCTCCACTAATCCCGGTTCCAGCAAAACTAACCCCAGCCCCAGCCCAAAATAACCCCGGTCCCAGCCCCCACTAGCCAATGTCCCAGCTCCAACTAAACCCGGTCCCTTCCCCAACTAACCCCGGTCCCAGCCCCAACTAACACCGGTCCCAGGACCCTCTAACCCCGGTCTCTTATACACATCTATGANCTAAACCCGGTCCCTTCCCCAACTAACCCCGGTCCCAGCCCCAACTAACACCGGTCCCAGGACCCTCTAACCCCGGTCCCAGCCCACCAACCCCGGTCCCAGCCCCCACTAATCCCGGTTCCAGCCCAAACTAACCCCAGCCCCAGCCCAAAATAACCCTGGTCCCAGCCCAAACTAACCCCTGTCCCAGCCCTAATTAACACCGGTCCCAGCCCAAACTAACCCCCTGTCCCAGCCCTAATTAACCCCGGTCCCAGCCCAAACTAACCCCGGTCCCAGCCCCAATTAACCCCGGTCCCAGCCCAAACCAACCCCGGTCACCTACCCCCAAGCCCCCCTTAACCCCAGCCCTAGCCCCCGCCTCACAGCTGTAGTGGTCACCGCGTGGCAGTGTTGCAATAGAGGTGGTGGGTGGCGGTTACCGTGAAGGTGGTGGGTGGCGGTTACCGTGAAGGTGGTGGGTGGCGGTTACCGTGAAGGTGGCGGGTGGCGGTTANACTTCTCACACATGAATGCTGACTTCTCACACATGAATGCTGACTTCTCACACATGAATGCTGACTTCTCACACATGAATGCTGACTTCTCACACATGAATGCTGACTTCTCACACATGAATGCTGACTTCTCACACATGAATGCTGACTTCTCACACATGAATGCTGACTTCTCACACATGAATGCTGACTTCTCACACATGAATGCTGACTTCTCACACATGAATGCTGACTTCTCACACATGAATGCTGACTTCTCACACATGAATGCTGACTTCTCACACATGAATGCTGACTTCTCACACATGAATGCTGACTTCTCACACATGAATGCTGACTTCTCACACATGAATGCTGACTTCTCACACATGAATGCTGACTTCTCACACATGAATGCTGACTTCTCACACATGAATGCTGACTTCTCACACATGAATGCTGACTTCTCACACATGAATGCTGACTTCTCACACATGAATGCTGACTTCTCACACATGAATGCTGACTTCTCACACATGAATGCTGACTTCTCACACATGAATGCTGACTTCTCACACATGAATGCTGACTTCTCACACATGAATGCTGACTTCTCACACATGAATGCTGACTTCTCACACATGAATGCTGACTTCTCACACATGAATGCTGACTTCTCACACATGAATGCTGACTTCTCACACATGAATGCTGACTTCTCACACATGAATGCTGACTTCTCACACATGAATGCTGACTTCTCACACATGAATGCTGACTTCTCACACATGAATGCTGACTTCTCACACATGAATGCTGACTTCTCACACATGAATGCTGACTTCTCACACATGAATGCTGACTTCTCACACATGAATGCTGACTTCTCACACATGAATGCTGACTTCTCACACATGAATGCTGACTTCTCACACATGAATGCTGACTTCTCACACATGAATGCTGACTTCTCACACATGAATGCTGACTTCTCACACATGAATGCTGACTTCTCACACATGAATGCTGACTTCTCACACATGAATGATGACTTCTCACACATGAATGCTGACTTCTCACACATGAATGCTGACTTCTCACACATGAATGCTGACTTCTCACCACCACACACAATTCAAATCTACACAGGGAAATGTATCCCGGCCACACACCTGAATGGAGGTCACACAGCTGTGTGACAGGTGTCCTGAACATGCATCGCTTCTCCATTACTGGCGGCCACTGATGGACGCTGTATTGGCGGCCACTAATGGACGCTTTATTGGCGGCCACTAATGGACGGATTATTGACGGCCACTAATGGACGGATTATTGGTGGCCACTAATGGACGCTGTATTGGCGGCCACTAATGGACAGATTATTGGCGGCCACTAATGGTCGCATTATTGGTGGCCACTAATGGACGCTGTATTGGCGGCCACTAATGGACAGATTATTGGCGGCCACTAATGGACGGATTACTGGCGGCCACTAATGGACGGATTATTGGTGGCCACTAATGGACGGATTATTGGCGGCCACTAATGGACGGATTACTGGCGGCCACTAATGGACGGATTGATTGCGGCCACTAATGGATGGATTACTGGCGGCCACTAATGGACGCTGTATTGGCGGCCACTAATGGACAGATTATTGGCGGCCACTAATGGACACAATGTAATAGCTAATCAACGAACCTAATATTAACATTGAAGATACATTTAATTTCATTAACTATAATGTAGTGAATAAATCGAGATGTTAATTGAACATATAATCCATTAATCAAGCACCACATTAACAAGAAATGAAGTTAATGGACTTATTAAGTCCATTTAATTTAATAAATGGAAAAAGAAATGAAGTTAATTGAATTAATTAGTCCATTAAATTTAAAGAGCGGAAAATTTTAGAAACGTAGGAAAATTTATATTTTTAAGCATTAATTATATATTACATCTATAAAATATATATTAAATCTATTAATAAAATATTCTAATGGAACTAATGGACATGGCGACGCGAGCGTCATTATCGCGGGCGGCGTCCGCTGTAGATATCCTGCAGAGATAACAGTCTGCAGCAGCGTCCTGCAGACCTGTGCAGCAGCAGCGTCCTGCAGACCTGTGCAGCAGCAGCGTCCTGCAGACCTGTGCAGCAGCAGC